GAATGGACTTTGGCATGGAAAGGTGCAACTTGAGACTGTGCCGGAGCAGAAGCGCCACAACCAGTTGCTGCAGATCATGAGGTCGAAGACCTTGCTCAACATGAATGTCAGAAAATGATTCGTGTGGGCAGGACGTGGAGAAGCCCGCATCAAATTGAACAGTGGATCGCGCAAGATGCTGCACTGGACCAGGCCATGCTAACATACGCTTGCAAGACACAGAGCAGCTATACTTTCTATCGCTGGCGAGTTGTACTAAAGGATGCCAGTTGGTTTTCCGTTGCAGACGTTAGTTCAACTGAGGAAACATCCTCGACGTGAGGTTTGTGTTTGAACTGTTTCAGCCAGCATCGGTCATTAGCACCGGAGTGCACATGAACATGTCCTGGTAAGCTACCCGACCTTGCGAGTGTGGCAAACTTCCTGCTTCAGAATGAACCTCTCTAACCAGAATGTAAACTTCTGCGAGTGCGTTCTCGTGGCAACCTGCCACAGCAGAGTCACTGGGAATTCTTTGACCGTGCTCCAGTGGCAAGCGATGTCAGTGCTTGGCGTTTTCCAAAGGGGGACCGGAAAATGATGCTGTACAGATGCGGATGAGACTTCGGGTTTGTCGCGGGCCTCTTGCTGCGAGGACTGAGTGGGTGTGCAGACAGCAGGTTCGCGAGTGCTGGATGATGCGGTATGCGATGCTGGATTGGTGGGGTTCACCGAAGTCATCCACGAAGAGCGAAGAGTACATCCTTTTGTCAACCAGCGCTCCGGCAAAGATGGTTTTGTGGTGATCGCTAGGCTGTCACAGGTTGGGTGACACTTGGTGAGTCTTCTGCTCGGCTGCATGTAACTTCTGACACTGGTAGACGTCGTGATGGAAGTTGAGCTACTGTGCAGTCTCCTTGCTGTCTTTCTCACTTATCGCCATGCAAAACGCTCCCCAGTTGATTTAGTTCCGTGCACCCGGTTTTATGATACGTTCGTGTGCTCGTGTAAGAAGCCGGACAGGCTCCTAGTGTAAATGTATTGCGCAAGGATCCACTTTGGCTTCCATAGTTGCAGGCAGAACTGTTTGTGCCATCACGAGCAGAAGGTGCAACTGAAGAAAGTGCTTCAGGTTACACTTACTTGTATTCCTAGCGTGGACTGCTCCATGAAAAAGGTTGGTCCCAGATCAACCTAGGCGAAAGCTCTGCAGGGGCGAAGTCCAACATCCCGCCGTAGTGATCAGCAGGTTTCGGAGTCCGTTAGGACGTCTTTAGCGTGCGAAATACTCCACGAATGCAGCAATCCTAGTAATGTCAAATTTTCATAGTTCAATCGGCTCAAGTGGAAGGTGATCTGCTCGTGCGTGCACCAAAGCTTGTGCCTGGGGACAATTGCCACCATGTATGGCTTCAGGACCGAAAGGTGACAAGAAGCTCTCACACCAGACTATGACAGGTGAGTTTGGCGTGGCGTCCAGCGCACAATCGACTTTCGGTTTTATCGTGGATGAAGCAAGAGGACGACGAGCTAATCTTTTCTCAGAGGCATAGTAGCAGAAAATGAAACAGCTAGTCTGAGCCCAGTCCAGTTTCGACGGTCTCGAGGATCGAGGGACCATGTCAGTTTGGCAAAGAGAATACCAAGACACTGGAGAACGCTGATCAGCGGCTACAAAGTGTCTCCACCCTGATTTCCTTGTTGGTTGCCAAGTGCATTGCTTTGGTTGAACAGTCTGCTGGGTTGTTGCGCAGCATCAGATTGCGCCGGCGGTTCGTTCGTTTCCGTGCTTGCAGTTACGGCACAAGCTGGTCGACATCTGAGTCAAATCGATGTCGTTTGTCTTTGCCTCACAAATCTGCAAGACACATCATCACATGTCTAAGCTTTGAAGCCGGGCAGTGGGTAACGTGGACGGGTGGTAGCTGCCATTGTCGAAGGCCAGGTTGCTGGACGGGCAAAGTGCACGACTTGCTGGGAAAGGGCACGGGACAAAATCTCTTGGATTGCTTCTGCATTCCTGACATTTGAGACCTGTCTCTACGGACCTCTCGAGGGTGTAGAGACTTCCCAAATTTGCAGGCGAGCAAAACACTGCAGGTGTGCCATGTTGAGTCATGCATTGCTGGACCATGTTGGTACATAGGTTCGTTTGAAAGCGTCATACATGGCTCATGGTTGCGACTCTGATTTGACAGATCTCTCTCATGCTGCTGACCCGCAGTGAAGGCTCTCATCCGTGCCTGTCGACGCCTTGTGCGGCAGTTTCTCATGAAGTACGCTCCCAAGCCTGTCCAGAGTCTCTGAAGAACGTGGAGCGAGCATAGTCGCGCCAGAGGCTACTTAGTGAGAGCATGCACAAAATCATGAAGCCGTCAATATCTTCTAAGGCGTGCGCATGATCGATCACCAAGTGGCCTCACGCCTCGCTCTAAGTGTGAAGCATGGTGGCAGCTGTGTGACGGCGTCACCTCCTCTTGCCACTGACAGGTATGACCAGCTCGTCAAAGCTCTGGACAGCAAGTACACATGTATGGAGGTGGGTCTTGCATGACGGCGGGAAGCTTTGTGGCCCTTATCCTGCTACAGCGGCAGGATTTCTGCAAGCATGTGGTTGATCCCCTCGGGCGTGATGCCAGAGACCAAGCCATGAGGAAAGCCTGTCACGTACGTTTTGATGTTCTGTGCAAGGCGGAGACCCTTGCTTTAGATGCACTCCCGCAACAGCTCGGCGTGGGCTTGCGCATGTGGATTCTGGACCGTCGAGATGAGGCGCCTCCGTAGAACTGACGACCACGTGCCAATTTCTGGAGATTTTTGGAGCCCGTCGTCGATGGTTTAGGAGATGTAGCAGCAAGCGGAGTGGAAGCTTGGCAGGCCGGGGCAGGAGAGCCCGGCTTTACTGCCAGGCACCTCCGGGTTCGAAAGCTCGAGGTGCCGCCAGCAAAGCAAGCAGAAACAAAAGGCTCGACAGGCGACCAAATGCGACCACGAACCGCCGGGATGCCACCGAGGTGATGATGTGCAGCCTCGAAGACACTGACCCTAGACTCTGTTGATGACACGACGTCACCGAAGACGGCCGTGATCTTGCTCAGTTGCTCGTTTGGGGTCTGGGGAATGTTCTTGCACGTTCTTAAACTTGTTATCCTGCCGTCGACATCCTGTTATGTCAAGAAATTACCAGCAGCCTGGAGCACGACAACTTCTTGGAGAGATGATTTCATATCGCACAGGACTTGTTCGATAGAGAGAGTCGCGCCCACGCCGTGCTACACAGGCTACACATGCGCTGGAGGCCAGGCCAATGCAGCCAGGCCGACGACGTCATAAAGCTCTGCTACAGGAAAGTCGACCTCGAAACTCGGGATGACACGCCTTGCGGCCGGCATGAGTACTCAAGGCTCACGGACGTAGGAAGGCTCGTCAGGACTCAATGGGTCCACGATGTCGAACAGCGCTATGCAAGTTCTTCCATCCGAAGGTCTGCTCTTCGCAGAAGCATTCTTAGCCGGTTGTCACTGGAGCCTCTGATGCTTCTGTTGGGTCCTTTGTGTGACTTTCCTCAGATTTGAATCCCGACCAGAACAGGGTGTTCATGATGCGGCTGATGCTCATGCCTTTGAGCCAAGACCATCCAGCTGTATGACTGCGGCTGGAAAGCCAATCCTTGTCAGCTACTTCGGCCGCCATGCAAACCAACAGAATCTAGCTTTCGCCGCTGCCTGTGGCTCGTGTGTAGCTTTGGCAGGTCAGCCTCATCAGCCTTGACACTCCGGGTCCACAGGGCGAGGCTGCAAAAAGATTTCTGTGGCTGTTGATCGTTCTGAGTTGTTCTGCTCGCATGGCCTCTTCAGGTCGATGTACATGTCCTTTTCAAGCCCGGACACTATGATCTATTGTACCCAGGCCACTCCTGTAGAGCGGGTTTGATATTTGTAGACTCTTACATTGCATGGTATCAAATCGCTGCCTGCCCATGACTCTACGTGCATGCAGGCCCCCGTCGATGATCACAGGCGTGACTTTCGGTGCAGGGCAGTTTGCAGCAGCATCATATGTGCCATGACGTACACATCATTTCGACACGCGGAGCTGTGAGATTTTGCGGCAGCGAGGAGTGATGGCAAGGCAAAGCATGACACAGCTGCTGAAAACTGTCTATGCATGCCTTCGATCCTGCGTCGCTTGCAACAGCTTCGCGAGCACTTCATGGAATTCGAACCGGTCCGAGCCTGGCCATGCAGGGCAAGCAGGCCAATCGTCGGACTGTAGGCACTCTCCCTCTCCTTTATCATGCATGATTGCACGAACCATCCTTTGGAGCAACCTGGCCCACGGGATGCTCTTTCCTGTTCCTTTTTCTCGGCACAAAGGAGAACTTCTCCATGAACTGCTCCTCCCAGTCTTTGCCAACCAACACACAGCAGCTTCGTAAGCGGCGCTACTTTCGAGCCCTTGATGGCAAAGCCGGTGGAGCAGAGCTTGGTCTCAATGCCGCGTAGGAACTGTGAGTCACATTCGCACTCATGCGAATCGACTAGTCTTACAATTGCTGCTCTTTCTGTCTAAACAGGTGTAAGACCAGGCCAAAACCCTCGTTTAGCTTCAAGCGGTTGTTCCGCCCAATTTGCATTTAATGTAGTAGAGCTTTCGGATCTGACTTCATGGATTTGTTGGATACCTCGGCTGGCGAAGGCGATGAATGCAGCTTGTAAACAGCAACCCGTAGCTAGTCAATGTCCCGGAAATATAACATTAATCTAGCTGTGTGAGACAAGCCGTAGAGTGGTCGGAAGTCGATAGGCGAAACGGTGAGGAACGCATCGTGTTTCCAACTAACCTTGAAATACAAGCTACCGCGGAGAGAAGAAGTGGATGGTTCCTTTTGTTGGCAGTCGCAGGGTACACATCAGCAGAGGCAGGAGCGTGAATCGAGGACGGTGTGACAGTAACGTGCATGGCTCTGGCAGAGCAGATCGCGGACCTGTCACTTTGAACCCTTGAGAGTCTCGCCTAAGGCTCATATTCTGACAGCGCTGCATCCGCGCACACAGCATGTTGTTCTCGCCTTATCAGCGGGCAGGTGTGATACCACGTGATGCAGCTGCATTGGATACAGTCTTTCGGCTGCCCAGAAAGGTTCTGATTGGCGATCATCAACAGCTCCGCCCATCAACAGCTGCAGGAGACTCAGCACAGTGTTTGTTTAACTTTTTCTCCAGCTGCTGTCTGGTAGTCGGCCTCACCCAGCAGCAAATTCTCGTGCGTGCCGATTCGTTTCGGACGGTGTTGTATCACGAACCTTCTGACAGGTTGAAATAGGTGCTTTTGGGTCGCGCTGGGTCCCACGGTCCAGCTCACGGAGATGGGAATAGAGGGGATTTGCACCTCCGTGCTGCTGGCACCACTCCGGATTTCGCGGCTTTCGGTTCAGGCATTGGCGACAATTCTTCTTCCTTTCGCCATCCTTTTGGTTATAGGTTGCTTTGGGGTCGATCCTTTGCCGCCGCTGCTTTTTGCAGAATTCCTGAGTTCTGAGCACGCCATGCGCGATGTCCCCAGCTCCTGAGCAGAGCTCCATAGTCCACACAAACCCTTGTCGATGATTGGATTTGCACTGCTGTCTGGGGGAGGGAAAGTGCTCTAGGGTATCTGTTCGGATGTGCTGCATGCATGTCTGTACTCTTGACTGTTGCGACATGACTCGAAAAGCCATTGATCAGAAGTGCGTGAATTCCGATGTTTGCCTGTTTAAAGGGAGTAGATGATCAGATTCTCCGTTGCTGCTGCACGGTCCCTTCTAGTCTCCACCCAGGCTGCAGGAGTTGTCAAAGCGATCGCGCACTCTTTACCCTGAGGTGTACCGTCTCTCCAAGAACTTCCACCTGGACGTGTCATTGTTTGAGCGCTTGATACACAATGGAGCAGCCCACGTGCTCTCGCCAGCATTAAGGGTACTCACAGGCAATATTCAGAGGTTTACATACCTAGCTGACATGCAGGTGTTCCTTGGTGGAAGCGCCATGCATGTGGCATCAAGCGCCGTTTGTTGCTGCCATCTCTAGAGGTCACTCTTCTTCAGCAGAGAAGAATGCATCCCAAGATCTCCAGGCTCATCAAGCCGCCGAGCACTCAGTTTCGAAAGACCAGCAAGTGATACTTCCAGAAACTGAACAATGATCAGAAAAGCATGTTGTCAGCACACAAGCCCCCTTGCGGCAGCATGTTTGAGCTGTTGCATGTCATACTTACGAGCGAACCTCCGCACATAAGTCAGGATGCAGTGTGTCGCTGCAGACCAACATTCGTGTACGTAAGGGCTCCTGGCCCATCCTTCGTAACCCTTCGTGGACAGAGCAGGCAGCAAGGGTCAGGGAGGAAGGAAACACTTTTCGTCCACCGGCAGAGGTCTCGTTGCACTGCAGGGGAGGTGACCTGTGCGCCGGCTGGAAGAAAAATGGAAAGCATGAGCAGACGTTGTCGCTGAACGTCGCGGCCGAAAACCTGTTTCAGTCTCTGGAACTCAGGTTGTATCCACAACTGCGCGACCACAGCAGCACGGAGAAGTGCCCTGGTGCTTTCACAAGCAAAAGGTGTTGGCAGAGTTTTGGTGAGAACACAGTTGCTTTTGGCTGAACAAAGCTCGATCTTGGACTGCATACCTGGAAGCTGAGTCACCTTGCATCCCAGGGACTCATTTTGATGACAGGTCCGAGGTTGATTCGGATTGCAAGCTTGCTGCTTGCCCCATGCCCGACTGAAGTGGACCGAATTCGAAGGCAGCACATCACGGGCGCGGATTAGCTGTGAATTGTGAAGTGGCGAACCTTGGCGACCAAGTCGTCCGAGCATCGGGGGACACACAGCAAGTCACCAGCAGTTTCAGTCGGTGCTGCGTGCGAGGTCCCAAGCGTAGCATCGTGCGGCAAGCACAAACTAGAAAGAAGCCAGCGGTGACTGTGGAGAATGCCTGCTACAGCATGGAATAGAAAGCAAGGACTGCCTGAGGTTGTTTCTGTTGATGGTTTTGTCAAGATGAACTGAACATGCATCCTGCAGTACTGCACCCTGGTCGAGTGTCATTCCGACCACTGTTTTGATGCTGCGGTTGTTGTGGTTCAATTGCACAAAAAAGTCATCTTTTGGATACATGCATACCAAAGGAAATGCAGCATTGGCCTTGTGAGCAGGTATCCCGAGATTCGTGGGGTTGCTGCAAGATGCTTCTTTATGTCCCACTTTCACTTGGAGGCCCCCCTGCCGCAGACTGGCAGACTTCTCATTCGACCACTGCGATTGAAAGGATGATGAGGGGGAGAGTCACTCCAAGCAGAACACCTTCGAGGCCGCCGATGCCCGTCGGAATCTCCGTCAAGAACGAAGGTACCGCCCATTCCAAAGTGCAACATTGCATGTGAAGATCTAAAAGGAGAGGCTGAGCCGACCGCTCCAAAACTGCCGGATGGTTTTAGAAACTCGAGCCATCCTGGTCCTGAGATCCTCCTGGCCCGGGTGCCTTGTCAGGCGAACTTCGTGAGCGCACTTTGCGCACACCTCGTTACCAGTGGCTATGAGGCGAGTCGATTTAGTGCAAAGATTTCTGAAGTCTAATTGTCCTGGTAGGCTCGGTATCTTGCATGCAGGAATCACAGATTACAGTTCTCTCGCCATACTTGGGACAGGCCCGGTCAAACTCGATGTCGACTGGTATTTTATATGCACATAAACCTTCTGTCAGGTGCGACTTCTGAAGCGCAAGATTCAACGCGATCCGTCTACACAGGGGATTGCTGTCACGGCTGTGGACAACTTCCAGGCACGGAAGGTTTCAGATACGGAAAGCATAGGATGCATAGGCAGGATTCATGCCGCTACTGGGTGGCGTAGTCCATCTCAGCAAGCAGCAAGGGCGAAGAGAATGACGTCATTGTCATCTCACTCGTGCGGTCAAACAGGCGGGGCAAACTTCTTTGCTGCTTCTTCCCAGAGTGCCGTGCCGTCCTCCTCCTCACGGTATGACAGGGCTCGGCAGATGGGCTTTCTGGCAGCTGCGCCCTCAAGCACGCGAGTTGCACAGCACAGCGTCAGGGCAGTTGACGGTTACTTAGGTCGACAACCGAATCAACGTCGCACTAACCAGAGCGCGACATGGCATGTTCATCGTTGGCAACACAGCCTTTCCCCCAGATATGGCAAGCCCGCGTCCATTGCCTCAGTGGAGCGGAAAGGAAACTGTCCAATGGCGCTGTTTCAAAATTAGAGGCTCGAGTCGGCTTCTACTGTCGATATTTGCATAGCACCCTCGGTTCGCACATATCGAAAACCTGCCAACCAGCTATTCTTTGCTATACTTTACACGTCTGTGCACAACTTAAGAGAAGATTGAAATCTCTTTCCGGGAATGGGATATAGTGGACCGGGCGGCTCTAGAGCTTCGGCACATTCGAATTGATCGGGGTCGAGTGTTTGAGGCGAGAAGCCGCCTGCCGAAAAGGCGTACAACACGTCGCGAATAGAGTCTGCCTTGATGGTCAATCTTCTCCTGCAGGAGAGAACCGAATGCGATGTGGAGCACAGTGTGTTGTTCCACAGCACTCCTGTTTGCACCCATGTCCGTGTGCGGGCAACAACTACCATGACCTCGACCACTGCAACTGCCACTCTTCCTCCGGCTACTACTACTCCTAATTACTACTTACTACTCACTACTTACTACTACGGTCGACCGTACTACTACTACTACTACTACTACTACTACTACTACTACTACTACTACTACTACTACTACTACTACTACTGCTACTACTACTACTACTACTACTACTACTACTACTACTACTACTACTACTACTACTACTACTACTACTACTTACTCCTTGCTACTTCTTCTACTGCTACTACTGCTACGACTACTACCATTACTACTACTGCTACTACTGCTACTACTGCTGCTGCTACGGCTAATACCTGCTACTCCTACCATTTGCTCCTGCAGCCGCCGCCGCTTGCAATCCAAGCACACTGTTACAGTGTCGTCAGATGCTGAAAGGATTACCCGCCGTGGTGTTTACAAGTAGCGCTCTCCTGCATTCTCATCTCCAGAATCCCAGCACGAGCATTGGTTTGTCATTATGGCTTGAAGAGGTAAATAGTGTTTGGACACACAGGAGTCGTCAAGGTCTTCGGTTTATGTTGTACAACAACGTACATAACTCTCCAGGACAAGAGTGTAATGTTAACACTAAAACCTACAACGATTAGTTGTCGCAGCACTTCAAAAGCGCCGTGGCCTGAAGTTGGGATTGGGGTGCGCTCTGTGGCAAAGAAGCCTGCCACTAAGTATACTCGGGCAACTTCTCCAGAGTTCCCACGAAGCAAACAAAGTCTAGGGCAGTCGATGGCCTCTTGCACACAGCCACCACCGAGCCTGGAGAAACGAGCTTTATCTTGTAGGCAGCATCATCAGGGCTGTTGCCTGCTTGGTTGGGTACATCTCTCGCCTGGCTTGAGGCTTGCAACATGCAACCGCTTGTGCTGGCTGGTTTCGACGTAAAGCGGGTTTCTTTCGTCCTCCTTCCATTACGGCGTGAGACTCCCGTACTCAATTATCTAGCGTCCTTTTCTCCAGCATCATGGGGCATTTGGCTTGTCCGATCTTATGGCTGTTACCGATAGAATATGATAGATTCCTTGCTGTGGGTTTCATTGCGGTCGCTAGCCTCTATTGCGATAGAAGATAGCGTTGTTATCATATCATACTTCTTAGCTACATCACCATTATCACGACCAGTCGCATTGCTGCCTGTGCTGCACTCATTGCTGGTTAGTACTCTCGTTGGTAGACCTGTCTTTCGATGAACAGTAGTGTAGCTGTTAACAGTGACATTATCACATCTCTCTTGTAGGTGCGCATTGAAAGGCTGTGGGGGTCTGGGCCTGGGGTGCCGGTACACAGGCACACTCTAAAGTCTCTAGAGCGAAAAGCTCCTGCTGCCACTGGATTACTTTCTGTTGTAGCCCGGCCAGAGCATACTACGCCGCTGCCGAGGACATGTTGGAAAAGCACACCCTGTGGAGCCAGATTTTGCGCGAGCTGAAGTCGGACGAGCCAGGATCTCGAAGATGATTGTGTCCCTAAACTCGGCTTTGCGATTATCAGATCCCATGATTCGGTGCTTGCCGGCGGACATGCCCATGTATTCCTTAAAGTTGTTGTCATGGCGTCCGAAAGGTGCTTGGCAGAGACATTGCCGATTGTAGACAAGGAGCAGAAGGGGCCTTTTGAAGCCACGAGCTTAGCGCCTTCGAACCTATGACACTCCGGCTGACCTCAGAAAACTTCAGACATATTGAATTCGCCAAGACATTAGTGGGCCTTGACGCCGCCATCAATGTTTCTGGAGCATACTGCAGGTGAAGTCGGCTGATGAAATCAGCGTCTTCCTGGAGAACAAAGTTCACCAGTCAGGCTGGACCTTGAACACAAGACGTTGGGGAGATATCGCTTCCGTGTGAATGAAGCAGAGGACTCACTGCAGATAATAATCATCCCAATTCAAAGACAAACAGCTTGTTTGCAGGTGGTGAAGGAATGATCACGATCGATGAGTACAGAAAATCTCAGGAAGCGACTTCGAGAAAAACATTCAGTGTTGCCGGGCAGAAATCAGAGCCTGAATGTCTTCTTCAGGTCAGAAAAAAGAAAGGCCAGCCACGCAGCCGAGGCCACGACGCTGTAGAGAAGTTTGCAAAGTACGAGTACATTGTAGCATAACACCACAACACATCAAAGCACATCACGCGCCAGGAGATCAAGCAGACCGATGGCTCGAACACAAGGCGGGATAGGTGTGTGTCCGAAGGCTCATAGTCATGGTGACCCACAGGAAGTTCGACAGGAGTTGCATGGCTGTACAGATTCATTGATGACATGTTACATGTATGTTTACAAATATCGCAAATAGGAAACACTGTGACGGGTCAAAACCATTCATAGGTGTCTCGGTTTCTGAGTTGTGAAGTGGGTTCCAGAGTCTGGCTTGGGAACGGGGTGAATTCCAAAGCCATTTTCGGCTACCAAGTGAGTTGCAAAGTGAGTTCCGGAACTCACCCTGGAACTCACTCCGGAACTTACTTCGGAGCTCACTCCGTAACTCACCCTGCAACTCTCCGGAACTCACCCTGGAACTGACTCCGAAATGCACAAGTCTCGAGGAACGGCGGCTCCGGCCCGAAGTCATTTCGGAACTCACTCCGTGAAACAGCCGCACCTCCGGAATTCACACAGACATCTCTCGAAAGCTGCAGAACTGCAAGGGTATGAGAAAGCGAGAAGACAACTTCCGGCAACCTGTCCAGCGGCCTGCACCCACCAGATTGAATAGCAAGTCTCAGTTGCTCATTCGCTTGCTCGATCGTTGGAGGGAAACTAGACCGTAAACTTAGTGGTTCAACGGTTCCGAATCCGAAGCTACTCCAGGCCACTGGCCGTGGGAGGTCAGTCACACCCTGATAGCATACTTGGGTGCTGGAGCGCCTGCGCAAAGCGTTGAGACGGGTTGAGACACAGCAACTCAATTCCTTTCTTTCGTGTATCTAGATCAGAAAGCATAAAGGTCTGAAGCAGGCAGGCAATTCTGTCGTATCAACCGACGAAATGTCCGGAAGAGCCTCTGCACTTCTGCAGAGCCAAGCTCAGAGGTTGCTCAGACAACCGAAGAAAGCTCGCGTCTGCCTGTCTTGCTCCTTCGCATTCACACGTCTGTATGGGGTGTGTCGTTGAATTCTGTCTTGCAGCATCTTGCATTGAAGCTGCATACCAAACAACAAGTTAGCAGAAGGACATTTTGCTGTGACTGCTGCAGTAGAAACCGTAACTGGCGGGGGCGTGCGGCGAAGGAGACCGCGGCTGAATTAACGAGGCCTCCCGACACTTTTTGCGGGTGCTGGCCGGGTCGACTTTCTGCTCTGCCGTGCACAATAGGCCGTGCTGCTGGTCTTCTGCAGACTGCACGTGAAGTCAGTCGTAACAAGTTGTTGTCGTTTGTCGATGCTTCTCATACATTGAGTGTTTAAGTCGGCCCCACCAACGGTGCCTTCAGCTTGAAGTTCTTATGTCCGCCAATGTGTTTTGGGTCTGGGGCTAGGCCAGCATGATCTCTCACCACATCGCGAACTTCAAAATGCCCGCGTCAAAGGCAGAGGCAGCAAAGCAGTGTTGAGAAGCGCATCAGAAAAACCCTCATCCGTAAAGGTTGCGTCGCCAGAGAAGTTCATAATGCTTCAGTAACGACATGAATCCTGAGCCGCGTCAGCAAGAATCACGAAAACCAGTGCTCCAGGAGCTTGCAGGTGTCAGTTCTGATCAAGTATCACTTGGGTTGGCAAATCCTCCGACTGCCCTATCAACTGGGTGGGTGTCGGCATGAATCAGCCCTCTTCGACAGTTGCTGATTGCCACATGTTGTCGCGATGAACACATACGAAAACGAGCCCGCTGTTTGGATTAACCAACGAGCGATCCTTGTGCGCCAGGGAAGGGTCTGGTTGAAATCGTGGGCTAGCCTTTTGCCCATGTGCCGGACTGTGGCGTTGAACGGTTGTCGAGGGCTTTTAGGTCTTTCGCTGCAGCGCCCTGCCTGCCCCCCTGCCCCGGCCTGCCCTCTTAGGGTTACCAGTTCCTTCGGGATGCTGGCAATGTCCGATGCTCGGCCTTGAGCTTGGAGTGGCTCAGGGGCCACCCTGCAGCAGCAAGCACGATATGGTGCGACTACTCTTGAACAATCTGGAACAGATAGCAGCAGCAAGCTCTGTCAAGGTTCGTACAGAGAGTGTTAAATGCTGCTTGCATGCAGGATGCACCTGCGAGAGGCGGTGGGACAAGGACCTCTCTGATTGCAACATTCCGCGACGGTTCGTGCAGTGGCGAAGTCACTCTCGGCAGCCCAATCTTGGGAGCGGGCAAGAAGATTCAGTGTGAAACCTATCACTGCCAGCAAGGATAAACTTATCTGCAGAGCAGCAACGAGCCTCCCATCTCAGCCATCTGGCGCCGTAATCCCAAGCTTGCAGGGCTTCTATGTGCCCTGACCCACGAAGCAGGGGCTGAACTTGCGGGATTCTCAAATGGAGCTTTTGGTGCCGCGCTGCAACCCTTGCTTCTAGCAGGAAGAGCTACGCTGGCCAGAACACACGAGAAGCGCACCGCCGGTAGTCGAGTACTGTTGCAATCACGACCTGCTCATTGAACTACATCCAGTAACGGCAGGTGGAAGCAACCAGACTAAGCGAAGACTTCAAGCCCGAGCCTGAGATTTCGGCAGATCATGCTGGCTGAGTGATTCGACACCTCGCAATGGGAGAGTTCTCAGGCCTCCAGCCAGGATGGAAGCGTGCTTCTCAGCCTTCTATTGCGGATGTTGCACGGCCTTACGCGCGGTGTCACCGTCTTTTGGGACATACTTACACACACGCATTTGCCAAGTTATCCCGTGCCTTTGGTGTGGACGATGCTGTACACATGATCTTTCATAGTTGTTCTCGGACCATCTGAACTTCTGCCATGCCAGTGTCTTTCCCTGCTCCCCGCCTCCGCAATGGAGTGAGTGACCTTCGAGCAATGACAAGGAAGGCTTGGGGCTTGTAAAGTCAAGATGGTGGGAGCTGATCCAGGGAACCGAAAATGCGCGCTGGACGGTGTGCTTCTGCCCATGCACCCTGGACGGGCAAGTCAATCTGCTTGACTCAAAAGCAGACTCGTGTGCGAAAGAGCTTGCTGCTCGCGCAACACAAGCAAGTAAGGCAAGCGAGATTTACGATGAATGCGAGCTGCTACCCGGAAAAGCCGAACAGGCGAGGGCGCGGCGATGCATCTAGCAGTTAACACGATGATTCAACATGACTGTCTGCTTCTTGTTGCTCAGACTGAGCTGCCGCGTGGGAAACTCTGCAGGATGACGATGCTGGAAAGCGGAGCAAGAAGAAAAAGCAGCAGAAGCCGAAGCAGGCGTCTGCACTGTTTTTTTTCCGGGAAGTTCGTGATCGGAATGCACGTGCTGAAAGATAGTTTGACGGCTTATGCAGTGAACAGTGCGACAGTACAAGTCCAGCGTGCGGCATGTATGGGTTCGAGTAGACTTGACTAAAGATCGTGACGGCGTTCCAGGTTCTCCACGTGCGCGGATGACCTGAAAAAGCATCTACACACGAGAGATTCGCAGCCGGTTTTTTTGGGCGGTCCTGGTGCCCTGACTTTGGTGTGACATCAACAGGGGCTGTAGGACACCGTCTGCACTCCAAGAGCTACCAGCCTGCAGCTGCTTGCGATCCTGCAAAAGGCTTCATCTGCGGTAGCATGCATGTGATGATGGTCGGATTGGCACATGGCTTAATGTCTCCGCTGCAGTTCGGCTCCAGCAGCGGTACGACTGTCATTCTGCAGGGTGCATCCTTCGACAGCTACAGCATGTAGTCATGAATCTACAACTCTTCCTCCGGGTGTGATTGAAACTTGGAGAGGCGTGTAATGGCGTGTATATACATGTTTCCAAAAACGTAACTTGCTGGAACATGCCGAGCATCGCCCAACAATCTCTTCGGAATCTAATCTGGCAACCTGGGTCCCACACAACGCGTTGACATGTCCGATTTCCATGGAAAGCGCAAGTATTAACCTAAATTGCAAGCGCTAGTGACGCTGACGAAGTCTGGTCCGGTGGATGGCCGGAATTTGCACCTTGCAGGCCTCAATCGATTGGGGCATCAAGCCCTTTACCCGCTAACTCAACATTGCCTGGGACTACTTGAGCAGTGCAAGATTGCGGCCATTGGAACATCCACCTTGATAGTGTTGACTGCAGTGCTTACTGGCATTTCGCATGTGTTTGCTCGGTGGAAAGGAAACAATACAGTTTTTTGTTGGGCTTCTTTACAAAGCAGCTAAACGCTGGACATTCCAGAACTGTACCGTTGACGGAAGATGGGCCGAGTTGCGGTGTTGCGCGTCCTGAGTCCGTGCACCGTAGGAGAGGGTGAGTACGCCGGGTGCGCACTGTCAGTTTGTAGCCACTGGAAACTGGTAGGAGCGCAACAGATGCAAAGGCACTTCTGCCCGTCGGTTTCATACCTCAAGCGGTTGAGGCATCAAGCCCTGCACCCGCACTTCACATTGGGAATCAGTACCAGCTTGAGCGGTGCCAAATTGCGGCCATTGTAACAAATCCGGCCCGTATATAGCTTTTCACGGCCAAAACACTTCTAACGTACGCGCGGGGGATCATTCGAAGACGTTTATGAAAAGTGGTACAAGATTTTGTCCATCCACGGTGTGACATTGCGAAGTCAGCTTTCGCCCAGTCAGCATGCGTGAAGTTTCCGCAGATATGGTTGTATGCTTTTCGCCTCAGACGCAGGTGCACAGCATTGGGCGCAAGGTTAACATGTCCCCCTTGATTCATGCCAGCTTGGGTCTGCTTAAGAAAGTAACATGCAGCAACAAGCCACGTGCTGCTAATGCATACCTAGCAGAATGCAGCAAAGTAAACTCGAATGTAATGTGTGAGTTGGAGAGTGCTTGAGATGTGATAAATGAAATGAACTATGCCGGCATACAATACAAAGGTATTTTGTACTACCACAAGTTATAGCACAGCACTATATGACATGGTACAGCATACTGCATTGTATCAAAGCACGGCACTGCAAGCCAAGGCTTAGCTCAACAAGTCCGTATGCACCTTGGCAGTACAGCCTACCGCACGAAACCGAGTGGTTTTGCCAGAACTGTCCTCCTATACTCTGCACCAGGCAGACAAGCTTACATGTAGTTTCAGTGTACACTGCCAATGCCAAATTTGTTCATCGTCGTGCTGGACTTCGTGACGAGAGAGGAAAGATAGTGTATCACCCAGTATATCTCTTCTTGCGACATGACCGGAAACAACAGAATCATGTGGAGTCGAATGCTCTGTGCAGTGGGATGGGGTGCAAAACCAGGTGCTGTCATGCTGGCACTCAGGAGAGACAGTAAACTAGAGGAAACGGGAGTACAACACGAAAAAAACATGAACAAGCAAAGGAGATTTACTATGCAAAAGGACCTGCTGCCCGAGCAAGGTGAGGGTGCACCAATCAACAAAGAGCCATTCTTGGCCGACACCCTAAACCGGGCCTCTGGTCCGGACCAAGTAATGTCGAGCATAGGTCGTTAACTCCTGACAGGTACTGCAATATGCTGGCAATTCGTCAGCTATATGAGTTGACACGATGAGGATGATCGCGAACGAAAAGCTGGTGACAAAAAGCGCATGGATAGTTCAGCATGCAATTACTATCTTAAAGTATGGTTGCAATCAGAAAGTTTGGCTCCTTCGACTCGCGACAGGTCTGTTGAAATCTGCTGTTGCAAATGCTCCCCCACTACGACTTCAACACACATTCAATGCGCAGTCGATCTATCGATTTGTTTCTCATGTATCTATAAATCTACCTGTCTGTCTGTCCATCTATCTGTCTATCATTCGATCTTGCTGGAGCCTGAAACGAATAGAGGTGAACCTCGTGCGAGCATGCTTTGTATCCAAATTATAACTCGTCGCTTGGCAATGCATTTCGAAACACGTAGACAGACATCGAAAACAAACCGTTTACGAGTTTTCGTGTCACCCCCCATGCAGAATCTACTCCGCAGGCCGGAGTCTTTTTTTTGCGTCTCCTTTTCTCCTGCAATGCGTGGCATCTGCACAATGGCTGAAATGATTGCAGGTTAGCTACCGTCGATGTATGACGGTTGGATTTGCGAAAGTGGCTTTTGTGGTATCAGTGCTCTTGGTGCAGGAGTTTTCCTGCATGAAGCTAATCTGCATTCGATGTCCATTTGCATTGAGATCCGGCAAAGCACCCGTGGAGCTGGAATCCGGTTTAGAGTTCGCACCTGTGCATTTTCAGCGATTGCGATTTGATTCCACTTGAGCATGAGTTTTGCATTAGCTTCTGAGACAGCTACATCGGAATGCTAAGCACTACAGAAACTGTGGTGCAGACAACTGTTTCGGTTTCCATTGCGAATCGAGAAGCTTCCCTGCACGAGGCTGCTGCAATTGCACCCAAATTAGTCATTGTCTATCGAGATCCCACCAAAATGCAAATTCAATGGCTAAGGGCGGGACATGACTGATGACACTCCCGAGCTTATGTTAGGGGCTGTCGAAGACTTCAGAGAAAGATAAGCAAAGACGGAAGGAATGTGTGCTCGTAAAGTCGTGATCCTGCAGCCCGATTTCACAGAAGTTCCCATTCATCATCGAAAGTTTGAGCTAGGTTCGGTTGGTGTTGCCGTGCAGTGGGCTTACTGTTTATCCTTGTGGATCTCTGCTCGAATTTGCTCATACAAAGGAGTTTCTATTTGCTACTTTTGGTTGTAGGCGGTCAGTATCTCGGTCACTCACACTTGTAGATGTAATTACTCATGTTAGGGTAAGGTGATGTGATGAGGATACGTTTCGCTTCCACGGAGGGTGCTTATTCAATAAGACTTCCGACAGCACCCACAGAGGCAATGGAGCAGTAGCTGCAGGACTTGCCATGGCTCAGATCAGCAACGTTTGCAGGTGCATATGTGGTGACCATCCGCAGGACAGCTGTTTGCAAAAACCGGCTGTCATCTTGTTGTCTCCTTTTGCAATAGCCTCTTGGCCGAAGCCTGCCCGATATCGACTTGATGCTCTTACGCATCCACAAAATTCCACAAGCTCAACATGCTTGCTTACCATAAAAGTAAAAGCTCGTGCAGCGGCGCTTAAGTGTAATCTTGCTTCAGCTGGGTGCGGGAGATCGGGCAAATTCAACGCTTCGTGCGATTGCATGGCTTTGACGGGGGGGAGGGGGGAGGGAAGGGAAGGAGGAGAACGGGGGGGGAATAGATTCGAAGTTGCGCCGGATTCATTGCTTTTGGCGTGAGGTGGGTGAGGTGAGGGGGGTAGATTGATGCATCCCAAGCGAGTGTTGCGGTAATGGCTGACTGGCTGCATACCTCTTTGGGGCCTCCTCCGCAGCTGCTTGAGCAATGTCTCCCATGTCCGTGCGCCGCACATGTCATGCCAGAGACACATCATCGGTGCCTTGCGAGCAGTCGAGCAGACTAGCACTCAGTTGCTTACTTCTGCTACTACTACTACTACTACTACTAATCCGACTCCGACTAGTGCTGCTATCCTATGCCTACTGCCACTATTACATTGTCTTTGGGACCAAGATTTTGCTCTTTTTGGTCAATCTTGCAATCGTGCACCACTTGCACCACTTTGTGTGGGGGCCAGCCGGGGCAATATTGCTAATCTGCTACTACTACCACGGCTACTACCACTACCAGGACCACTACCAATACGACGACTACTACTACTACTGCTACTTCTACTACTGCTGCTACAACCACCACCACTGCTTCGATTTCTACCTCTGTCACTGCTACTACTACTACTACTATTACTACGACTGCTGCTGCTACTACCACTACTACTACTACTACTACTACACTACTACTACTACTACTACTACTACTACTACTACTACTACTACTACTACTACTACTACTTCTCTACGACTACGGCTAGTATCTGCTAGTACTACCACCACCACCACCACCACCACCACCACGACTACTACCACTACTACTCTACTACTACTACTACTACTACTACTACTACTACTACTACTACTACTACTACTACTACTACTACTACTACTACTACTGTTACTACTACTACTACTACTACTGCTACTACTACTGCTACTACCTCTGCTACTACTACTACTACGACTACTGCTACTACTCCTACTACTGCTACTACTGCTACGACTGCTGCTGCTACTACTACCACGACTACCACCACCACTGCCACTACGACTGCCACTGCCACCACCCTACGACTACTACTACTACTGCTACTACTACTACTACTACTACTACTTCTCTACGACTTCTGCTGGAACTACCACCAGCACCACCACCACGACTACTACTACTACTATCACTACTACTACTACTACTACTACTACTACTACTACTACTAACTACTACTACTACTACTACGAACTGCTACTACTGCTACTGCTACTGCTACTACTACTACTACTACTACTACTACTACTACTACTACGACTACGACTACGACTACGACTACTACTACT